AACACAACGTGGTGCGATCATCCCCCTTGCGCGGAGTGAGGGTTCTCGACCCCGCGCAACATGATCTACTCAACCACCATTATGGCTACCGCAAAAAAAAAAAACGGAGGTAAAAAAAAACCGGTAACCTGGTTGCCGAGTTCACGAAGTGAATTGGCTTGTTTTACAACGTCGTTGCCAAGCGACGAAAGCCCAACCCCGATGGCAAACACCGGGGGGGAATTGGCTTGGTTTACAACGTCGTTGCCAAGCGACGAAAACCCAACCCCGATGGCAAACACCGGGGAGAGTATGGAGAGAGAAAACAAAGGCAGAGACAAAGCAAGGACACCCCGCACGTCAAATAAAGAGAAAAAACAAAAACAACACAAAACTGCAGCCGGGAAAAACAAAAACAAAAACGAAGGAGTCTAGCTCCACAACGATCCAAACACGAATCGTTGTCGGCATCTACGGCATTCCACATTTACATCCCGGCACTGGCACCATCCACATACACCGGTTGGTTCAGGGTTGTCCTCAACTGTTCTTCCCCCATATAGTCCGACGTCAGCGTGGGTTGCAGAAAGAGCTTGCCGTCCTCCACGTAAGAGTTGGTCCGGTTGTTGCCTGGTTGCGCATGCAAGCGTAACATGTAGCGGAGGGATCATCGACAGTGGCAGTCAGTCGCAGCCAAAAAGCAAAACACACAGAGAGAAGAGCAGCAAGCATGCCCAGCAGCAGCAAGAGCAACAGCAAGCATTCCCAGCAGCAGCAAGAGCAACAGCAAGCAAGCAAGCAAGCACACCGACGACGAGTCGGGAGCAACGAACGCACCATAATCGCTCAAGGTCGAGATATATCACGCCATCATCCCGTCAAACAACAAAAACATGGCTGGGCTTTGCACCCCACCCGCCCTCCGGTGCCCGCTCCCCCGCTCACCTCTCGGAAAAACAGCGCGGCAACACACCGAGGTTGTGCCTCTCTACTCCTTTGCGTTTGGAACTCGCAATTCTCTCTACCTGCCCCCCCTCCCACCCTGCCGCAACTGATGTATCGGGAAACAGCGCACTCCGAACACTGCCAACACAGGTGTTTGTGACCTTGGACTATTGCTTTCCCAGGCCCATCTCCCTGCCCCCTTCCCACACAAGAAAAATAAATTACTAAAAAGGTGCTTGTCTCACCGTACATCTGGAACTCCCAGTTCCCTCCTCCTCCCTGAGAAAGAAGAGCAGGACGCCATCGCGAGAGAGAGGGTGCAAGGATATGCAATGGGGGTAAGGAGACACTCTTGAGGGGGGGGGTGGTCCCACTGGAATCGCGGCCGAGCGAGAGGGTCTGGACTGGGGAATAGGGACGTCTGGGTCTCCCGAACCGCGAGTGCTCACGACAAAGTTTCTTGGGTCGCTTTCCTTGAAGTTGCCCGTAACCGCTCTTGTGCCGAAGGCACTTTTACCAGATACAGGGACCGCCCGCATCCGAAAATTTCCTCTCTCTCTCTCTCTCTCTCTCTCTCTCTCTTGTACACGAGTTTGAACCTACCTCCTTGGGCTCTCTGCCATCTGTTGTGTCTCGAACGTCGAACAAAACTAACGTAAGCACTCGCTGCAGTGGTCGTGCAGGACTTCTGCCACACTGTGCAGAAGGAGCTACTGAGAGAATTTCGGGAACCACGTCATGCCACGTTGTTGTTCATGCCATCCCTTGCTCCCCATTCGGTCGGTTGCCTCAACTGCTGTCTGTATCCATCTGTCAGTCTATCTGCCTCTCTGTCCCTCGTCTATCCCCTTCCTCACTCCTCCCACCGCCGTTCACCACCCGCTTACCCCCCTCCGCTGCGCGCACTGCTATCTGCTCACCATGGTGATCTCGTGTTGCCAAAGATCAAGGTTGAAGCTGTCAAATTCTTCGTTGAGGATGAGCGTTTCTTCTGCTTGATCCAAGAACAAGCAGGCGACGAACAACGAGCACGCAGGCGTAAGATTTAACCAACCAGGGCAGCTATTTCTCTGACGACACGAAACAACGATCGGATCATTGCACCTTTCAAAAGAAGCATGTGCGTATGAACCGTACTCCGCATGTCGGAGACCGTGGCATCTCTGCGGACACCCCCGAAGAGATTAAAAGACCAATGCTTAGGAGCGTTTTAAGAACGACGGGAACTCCGGAGACCACTGACGAATACATGCATCGTCCACACGCCAATTTGCTTGGACGAGCAGCCGGGCGGACCACTCGTGGCACCACCGGGCTCAACTCGCGTTCTGGACCCTCTCTCCTCGCCCAAATACTAGCGGACACCTGCCCCCCCCCCCCCCCCCCCCCCCCCCCCCCCCCCCCCCCCCCCCCCCNCGCGGTGGTGACGGCTACTACACGGGATGCCAGGACGTGGTTTGCTCTGCTTCTTTCCTGCCTAGACTATTCCTTTACCTTCGGGGCTCGTTCAATCCACACTCATGTCACCCGAACTCATTGGTTGTCTATGGTGACCACACAATAGCGGCGAGGGTGACGAATACAAATGAGGTCTCCCCGAAGGACGAAAAGCCGCGCACACAGCACACCACGGCGCCACGAACGGCAAGAACAGGTCCAAGCCTCTAGAGTCGAACCGCAGGGGGCTTACATCCGTGTTCTCCCCCCCGGGAGTCTCCCCGACACAATCGAAAAAACACACCAGAACCCACATCGCACCACAGACCATCTACTCCAAAAAAGTGCCAACCGCTTCGTCGGGGTACTGTTAGGGGTGTCAAAGCGGAAAATTTCCTATAGGAAAAAATTCGAAAAAGCGTCCTCGGATCTTGCTGAGAGAAAATCGAACAACCAATGAAATTGCACGGAACCGTCGGAACCTCCCGAAAAGACCCTCTGACGCACACGCGCGAGGGCGCGGCTCGCCTGTGTGCTTTGCGCCCTGCTATGGGGCACAGCACAACACCATTGCGCGGTCCCACTCTAGAACACATGCCTCATGACACACCCGAGCAGCAGCCGGGCGGTGAAGCCACGCAGACAGCTGCCGCCGCCGCTGCTGCTGCTGCTGCTGAAAAAAACAGCAGCAGCAGCAGCAGCAGCAGCAGCGGCGGCGGCGGCGGCGGCGAGGTTGAGCCTGGCTCTCTTCCACAATTTTCTTACTTTTGACCAACTCCTCCTTCGTTTGAAAAATACAGCAGCAGCAGCAGCAGCGGCGGCGGCGGCGGCGGCGGCGGCGGCGGCAGCGNGCTGCCGCCGCCGCTGCTGCTGCTGCTGCTGAAAAAAACAGCAGCAGCAGCAGCAGCAGCAGCAGCGGCGGCGGCGGCGGCGGCGGCGGCGGCGGCAGCGAGGTTGAGCCTGGCTCTCTTCCACAATTTTCTTACTGTTGACCAACTCCCCCTTCGTTTCCTCCGGCGTTTTCTCTACGACGGTGAGGCTGCCGCGTTCGATAGCGCGCCGCGTGTTATCTTCTGCTGACGCGGCAACCATACACTGCCCCGTCCTCTCTTCAAACTTTGTTTTGTTTTGATTCAGCTTTCGCGCAGCGCGCCTCCTGCTGCCGAACGGCGCGGACCTCGATTTTTTTGGGAGGGTCTGCTGGTGTGGGCGCTGCAGCCCCACTGGAGGGGCCGCTTTCAGACATGCAGATCTCGTGGTTGGCTGATGCGATTCGGATGCGGTTTGTTGTGTGGTATAGCTGTAAACCCAAGGTAGAGGGCTGTAAGCTCGCTTTCACGAGAGGAGCAAAGGTCGCCTTGGGCGTGGAGCAACGAGCCCAAAAAAACATTTTTTTTGGTGTTGTTCGTCCACCCTTTAACTTTCAGAGAAAACCTACCCTACAGTCAGCTCTACACCTCTATTGGACCTGTGTCCAGGTGTGTGTAACGCATGAAGAGCCATGCTGCTGTCTGGACGCAGAGCTGCCTGCACAAACAAATTGACATGATGTATAGATTATTCAGTATTAACAGCGGGATTCTCAAGAACCAAAAAAAGAACCCAATCCGCGTGCCCCCCTCAAATTTTGCCGAATGGACCGGACGTTTTTTTGGCCCCAAATTCCGCCGCTTTGACACCCCTAACTGTACACGGTACACGTGCTACCGTCTGTACCTACGAGAGGCACAATGGCTGGTGAACACGACAAGCATTGATATAACACCGCGTTGCGTGGTGGAATTTCGAGGCGCATTCTTGGTAGGCAAAGGGAACGACGGTGCTACGTACTACCTCTCCGGTCCCGCTCTCAGCCAGGGGCACGAGCGGTGCACGCCAGCCGAACAGACAGTAAGATTGGATGTTTGACCGCAACACGTCGCCGACTAGCACAGACAGGAAAAAGGCACCGGAAAAGATCTCGCGCGTAGAGCCGGATCGACAAACACAGACATCGACGGATCCACGAATAATTACGCCTTTAGCTCTGAGGCCCCCCGTGCCTCAAAACCTACCTTCCAAGCGGCGCGGGTTGACACCTCTCCGCGAGGCGCCGCCGCCTTTTCCGGCGGAGGCTCCCAGGGCTACACCCGCAAGTACAGCCAGGAGCAACCCCCTGCCCAAGTATGAACGACCGTAATGCCACAGTTAGTTGGGTGCATGGGGGGAGGGGGGGGGATGGTGAGCTGTGCTTGGAAGAGCCATGTAGAGGGGCGTGAATAACAATGCGCTACTAGCTGTGGACCTGTATCTGCTTCGCGGAAAGAAGATAGGTAGTTGTTTGGGATGAGTAAATAGGTCGGGGTGGAGAGGACGCGCAGCGAATGTCCGAGATCCTTCGGGAGACGGAAAAAAGAAAAAAAGGAGAGGACTGCCCACGCACACGGGATTGAGGCGTGCCACGCTTCAAGAAAGTATTCACTCACAAGTATCATGCGGCGGGAACACCAAAATCGCGAAGCTTCTAGGTGACGGCGAATGCTTCCAGGAACATATTTTGTGGTCGGTCAAACAAGAGGAGAATTCTGAGTTCACTGCTGCAGTTTTTTTCCCGGTGATAATCAGGGGGGGGTCAACCGCCGCCCTGCTGTCTGGATCATCTGTCCTTGCGCAGACATGAGCGATGAAAACCTGCTTGCCCTTTGCATAGGGAGCGGGTCAGGGCCACCTCGACCTTGAGATCCTTCTGCTACGTGGCCTACAAAATGTGCCCAAGTCGTGGGAAAAAATGGTAAATGCAATTCGTTTCCCCACAGGGGTCGGAGCGATCGTGTAGGTGGCAGTGTCTGCGCAGGGTATGTAGAAACTCAGAAAGCTGACACATGGCTTACAGTCTGAATTGGTTGGAGAGTTGTAAGAAACACAGGTCGGGCTTGTAATACTAACGGATCCCTGTTTATTAATCCTGGGCTTCTCTGTGAATACTCCGTAGAGATAAATTATTGACTACCGTAACGTTGCGAGTCAGCGCACGGTCCAGAGTCATCGCACAGGGGTGCGATGCAAATTAAATGGCGAAGTGATTTAATCGATTTCCGCACAGGGTCCGGAGTCACCGCACAGGGGCGCGATGACTGGCAACCTAGGGTAAGTTGAGTGCCAGCGGTTCGGGGGCAACTTTCAGCCCTGCAACCAGGCCAGTGCTGGCACGTTAGCTCTGCTTTGTGGGTAGGGTAATGGTCGCACACCACACGTCGGTGAGGTATGAAGGAAGCGAAACACATCAGTATTTCCGTTGGATCGGTAAACTTGATCATTGTCCATTCAACCAAAGTACGAGGAAGCAAAACAGGAGCCACAAGCCAAATCAACTAACAGCAGTAAGTACCACGGAACAGCACCACTACTACCGATGTTCTACTTTCGCTACCAAGCCCCTGAGATCGCCGTACCCCCGGTGCTTGAAGCTTCCGACATGATCGCCAGGCGATGGTGTGTCGCGTGTGGGCACAACTGGACGGCGGAGAATTGTGTTTTTCGTATTTCGCCGCATTTTTGTGTTTGTTTGTGTTTTTTATTATTAGCATCGACCGCGCTAACCGGCTGACCAATTAAAAGACGTCAGTGCCAGCGGGTAAAAATCAAGGTCCCTGGAAGGATGCCAAAATTCGAAAAATGCGCAATGCGCTTGATGCGAATGCCAATACGACTCTCTC